AACCCAAACTATTCGGTGACTCTGTGAATTTGCTAGCGCTAGGAGCTGCTTGTTCAGCCTTTGCTGTACTTTTCTGCTTCCAGAGAAGTAGTTCAGACCCTATGGACAGTGCTACAGCAGTGTGTTGTCTCTCTTGTGCCTAACTTGTGGCCTTCCAGGATAGTTCATCTGGCTCCTGTAGGTTGTGACTTGTTCTGCTGGTCCTTAAGTGGCGTGTGTGTGTCTGAGGTTTTTTTTGTGTGTGGTAGCCTTCCACTTCCGATCTTGCAGAGATGTTACGTGGATTACAAAACCTCACTTGATTGCCTCGACACCTGCTTTGGCCGAACTGTCTGTTAGGCCAAACTGTTGGTTTCAATACGTCATGAACAATCATTTCCAAATCTCACTTGTTGCATTTTACTGAGTATCCTGTAAGAGCACTATGGCTAAGAGCTTTTTTGGCTGGGGTGAGGGCAAAGAAGTCGTCTCATGTTGCATGAGCTTTGGGCAATGTGGTGGGAGAGTCACTGCTGCAGGGCAGCCTCCCTTCCCAGTTGGATGCAGCTGCACCAAGTCCCAGGGCGCTGGGAATTGCATGAGTGTCTTCCAGAAGCCTGGCTCTGCCAGTGAGGACCGGGAGAGGCCAAACTCCTCAGCAGTTCTTCTCAACCTTCGTTTTAAGAAGAAGGTTGGAAAGGGGATCTGCCTGCTTTGTGCTGAGAGAAGAGCTGTCGTCCTTTCCTAAGGACAGCTTATCAGCGTCTCCTATAGAATAGATACCTTTCCCTGTAGATACAGAAAAAGTTTTTCAAAAGTGTAGAATTGACAGATTTATAATGGGTTTAGATTTGAAAAGTGAGATTTACATGTGTATTCCACATATGTGTATGGAATATATATGTATTTAGGTTATGCACCCAAACATTCTTAATTTAAGCCCTTTTATGCCAACTTTTCACTCGGTGAATTTATAACTAAGCATAGTTAGTTAAAAATATCTGAAGAACAGTTTGTAACGAACACACTATACAGCCAAACAGCATTACTGTCACAGCAGTGTCACGTAGGTTGAAAATTCAGATGTCTGTTCCTAACTCAGAAATTCAGTTACATGAGTGCATTTTCAGTAGCTGAATGGACAGGTGCAGAAGCTCTTGCTTGCTGCTGTAATGCTGAAGGTTAACCTTTTAAATTTATTTCAATATACTGTTGATTTAAACAGCTCAAATTAGAAACTGCTTTTCTCTCTGCCGCTTCTTATGCTGTTTGGGGGTGGGGGGTGGGGAGGGAGGCAGAGGATCTAGTTCCCAAAAGATTGGGATCAACCTAAACTAATCTGGCAGTTTAGAAGATTGTTAGGAAATCGCAGTGGATGGGCCATGGGGGAGGTCTGAATAAGCTTTTGTTTTGGAAGCTACCCCCTCCTCCCCTTTCCCCTCAGTAACTGAGCTTGGGCTGTCACAAATAGAGCCTATAGCCTTGATGTTCATAGGTAGCTTTACAAGAAATGTGATGCTGTAGGTTTGACTAGAAGTGGTTGTCCCCTGATGTTTAAAATGAACTTCATAAGTATAAAGTGGTTTCCTAGATGTGATGTTTGATCAGGATCTCAGTTCTGTTTCTGCTGGGATTGGGGCCATGTACTTCCCTGTAATGTGTATGTGAGCTCTGCCTCAAAATGCTGAAAGTCCAAAGCCAGCCAGTAAATGTGGCATACAGGAGGACTGTGGGAAGACAAAGCTGTAAGGAGGCTGTACTTTGGATGGTTTGGTAATTCATAGTTTAAATGTTCCCTTTATAATCTAGTATTGCACCACCAATACATTCAAAGAGGGCTTCGTTGTATCAGCAGTGCTGTGTCACAAAAGACGAACTTGCAAAGATTTTCTTGATTTCTTCTAAATCTCTGAGATAAAGACATTAAAAGAAAGAATTATGTTGACACGGAAAAAAGCTCTCTGAAATAGAAAAGTTATCTATGACAAATTTTGAAGCACTGAGTGGAGCTCCACAGAGTTTGTGATCAAATATCCTGGGTAACATAGCTCTTCCAAGAAAAAAATAGCCTTAATTTTGTAAGGTAATCCTTTTTCTTTTAGACATCCTTAGACCCATACATGCACATGTGAAGAATCCTTGAACTGAGGTAGGGCAGAAAATGCATGTGAATAACTTCATTGGTAAAAATAAATAAAAAATTAGTGTTTCTTTAATGTGTTTCATTTAGTAGTTCCTGTAAGCCCTTCATTTGGAGCTTCAGTGTGAAAGATAGGCTGCAAGGCACCCAGATATTTATACGTGTAATTAAAAAATTGGGGTCTTTACATAGCCTTTTAAATTGCCCAGCTATGGTAACTGGAAAACAGTGCCCCCCTTCTTCAGTAAACCTTCCTGGAGGAAAAAACTGTTCTTTTCTGTTTGGTTTTTGTTTTTTTTTAAAGGATAATTTCAAAATTCTGTCTTAGATGTAGTTATGCAAGCACTGGAACTGGCAAAAGATCAGGCGTGGTAACATTTTTGGATGCTGGAAAAAGCAGAATGAATGGTTGAAGCAAGTGTTCCTGCTGCTGCGGAAATAGTAATGTGGGTTAGGTTAAAAAAAGCGTTTTGATCCTGTTGTATAAAATCACATGCTTATATACGGATAATCTGGGAATGTAGCACATTGACATCTCTCATCCAATTTATTTCATTTTATAGAATGTGTTTTAGCTTAATGATATTATTACACAGAACGTTTATCTTGTTTGAGCTATGCTTATCACCTCTGTCAATGGGGAATAACAGTTATTCTCTTACTTTCTTTAGCGTTAATGATTGTTTATATCTTGAAACCATCTTTGATCCTCATAGCCTACAACACGATGCCATCTCTTCGTGGTCCCTCATTGTGCCTGATCTTCCGCCTAGCATACAGACCCAGGAGTTGACTGTTCTTCCTGCATGGGGCTCCTTCCTTCAGAAGCTGGTTTTTTTTCCTTTTGTTAGGCTTCTGTACATGTAGCAGAGCCATGGGGTTTGAGTGAGGATGAGACAGTGTCTGGGGAAGAATTTAGTCTGAAACACTAAACGGGAGCCAGAAATGAAAGGCTGTACTCAAATTCTCAGATAGTTAGCTGACTTAGCTGCTTTTTGAAGTACAAACGTCTAGTGATGAGGAATTTGAGTTACCTTGTACTCTCTGAAGACACTTGAAAGTGTTACTGGGGAAGAGTGAAGATTACTCCTTATTTGTTCCCTGTAGGGAACAGTAAAAGATAAGACAATGCAAAATGAAATGAAAATCAGTAATTTAAATTGTGCCAAACTAATCTGAGCCCTTTCTTTGGCAGCTGATAGTCTAAATAAAAGAATTTCGGTAAAACTTGTTTCTTTGTGGAGATCATTAAGGTATTTGGTACAATAGCCAGAACAGGATTGTGAAAAGTTATGGCTTGTTGAGGAATTGTGGTGAATTAGCTGATCCTGAGGTAAGATGGTAAAGGACAGAATTATAAGAGAAGATACTAAGAGGAAGACCACTGAAGAGTTTCTTAGGGATAGTCTGAACGCTGTCTCTTGTTTTGATGTAATTAATATTCTAAAAGTTGAAATGTATTGAGGAAGCTAGCTGGAAAAACGTAATTAATAGAGCTTATGTAGAGAAAAATCAGGATAACAAAAAGGAAGGGAAGAGTTAGGGGTAGGAGTGGGATGAAAATGAGTAATACAAAGTGCAGTGCTCTATATTTAGCAAAAATTGTTTGAAGGGGAATATTCTTACTAATCTATATGGTAATAGTGAAACCTCATCTGAAGTACAGCATATGATTCTGGTCACACACTGAAGGCTCCTGCAAGGTGCAGCAGATACAGAGAGGGAACATCAGAGGGGATGATCTGAACCATTGCGAGCAGGGTTAAGGGAACCCTGCTCGGACAGGGGGTCCCCAAGCACTGCCATGGAGACTTGGAGGGGGCAAAAAATGCAGCTGGGGCAGGGTTTGATCACTGTTTATGAAAGATTAACTTACTGTAGTCTTGTGGGACTAGGCTCCAGCTCAAGTCGGTCTTTAATAGTTTGTCACTTTTTTGTTATTTGCAGTATCTCAGTTTACCACTTTTGCAAAGAACTGTGTCAAAATCTTTTGTATTTAGTTGGGATGATGTAAAATGTCCATGTGAAACTTCCTGTGAGGGAAGGTGATGGTGAGAAGGGTTTCCTTTCAGCAAGTATGTATGAGGACTTGAGATCTAGAATGTGTAGGAAAAGGACGCTGCTCCTTCAGCTTCTATTTCTAGATTTGATTTATAGTATCCTTTTGCCCATTTATGTTATTGGTAAACAAAATACACTCTTCTGCACCACAAAAGACCACTCAGTTTTACACTTTTACGATGTTTATGAGATTAATAGCATATTCTAATATTCCATAAGGTTTATATTTATTAGCAGTTCAGCTCTAGGTTTGCTGCTGTTGTTAATTGCTTGCAGTGTCCAGTAGGTTGGTGGTTTGTTGGTTTGGTTTTTTTTTTTTTAATACTTTGCTATTATGGTCTATCTCTTGCTGTTATATATACATTGGAGGCCTTTCTTCCACTTATATAAATCATTGATTGTTGCAATCATGGCTGATGAGCATGACTCTGAAATACAAATAATACAAAAAAAACCCCAAACCCTTTAATGCAAATTGTTTATAGTGCAGTAGCCTGCTTTCTCTATCTGTGACCAGCCTTGACTCTAATCCAACAAAGCATTTATGTGTGAACATAATCTTTGTTTTTTAGTTCCAGCTACTTGCAGTTAAAGTTAATTCATGCGTATATTGTGTCTGTTGTTGATTATATAGCTTATGATTAAGCTATAATCGAAGCTGTGTTAGTTTTCTGGTGTGAAAAGGTGCTAATTTTGTTTACAGAATTTACCTGATTTTTACAAGCTGGCTGGCAGCTATACTAAGGTATTCTGCTCAGAACTATAAAGATGGAATAAATAGCAAAGATGGAAGATTAACTCGTATTCTTTTGCATTATAGCTAGTTGTGTCCCATCAACATGTTCTGGAAGTTTGATTTGAACACGACATCACATGTGGACAAGCTGCTGGATAAAGAAGATGTGACACTTCACGAGCTGATGGATGAAGATGACATCTTACAGGAGTGCAAGGCTCAGAACCGCAAGCTGCTGGACTTCCTTTGCCAGCAGCACTGCATGGAGGAGCTGGTCAACCTCATCACACATGAGCCCCCTGTGGATATGGATGAGAAGGTCCGCTTCAAGTAGGTATTTGTTTTCTGCCCTATACGAAGAAAACTGAATGAGAGATCTTGATGTTGGAAATGCTCTGGTGCGAGATGGATGTAACCTTTTCAGTCTTGAGAGAAAGGCTTTCTAGTACTGTGAAATATTTCACAGCATTTCGTTATTTGTAGTGAATTTTCAGAAGCTTGATTCTGTACTTTTAATGGTTTAACATTGAGTTTGTCTAAAAAAAAAATCTCTTGCTGTTTGTTCAAAACTTTGCAAGCAAAATAATTAGTATCTTAAAAGTACCTTTAGTACACTTTTATCAAATTTGCAAGCCAAAAGCATTCTGCTCTGAGAAATTTCTGAATTTGATTGGTTTTCAGTAGCCAAGCCCACAAAAGAAAGTGAGCTGTACAGTGAGTAAAAGATGTAATATTTTCAATGTGCTGCATATGCAAAACCTGCTGATTTCGGTGATCATATAGTTAGGGAGAGGGCCTAACTCTGTAAAGAGCCTATTTCTTATGATGGTGAACTCTTTAGATGTGTTTGGTTCTCATAATAAGTTGTGTTTATACATTTTTAAATAAATGTATACTTGAAAATATTTATGTTTTAGATTTGAGAAGTTTGTTTTTCTTAAGTTTATGTAAAAATAAAAAGCTCCTCTGTGTATAAATAAATAAATAAAAATGGGCAAGTTTGTCACTGTGGGAATGGATCAGTGTTGGTTATTGCTGCTGTTGCTTGAAGTCCACAGAAGAAATGGTAGTATTGTTTAGGTTTATTATTAGGCAAGATAGTTGATCAACTATGTCTAGGTGACTATTTCCAGGTAAGCGAATGCCAGGAAATAACGTTATATAGTAACTTGGAATATTATATGGCTGCTTTTGCAAGGCTTCTGCTATAAAACGTGAATTGCCAGAAGGAACCAGGAGTGTTAGTTTTACACTATTGTCCTACAAATGCAAATTTTGTACAGGTACTCTTAAACCAGGGATGTGGTACACAACAGTCTTTGGACTTTTTGCATTTTCTGTGTTACATCAGAATAACTGGCTTTTCCTGGGGTGACAGGCTCTGAGCTTACTGCAGCCCTTTATCCATATTGTTTGCACAGCTAACCTGAGACGAACTCAAACCCAAAATATCTGATTGAAGAAGATGGGCAATACTTTCCTTAGTGCTAAGAGTTAATGAGCAGAGTAAATGCTGAATAATGTGTGACTTGTGGTCCTTTGCTGGAATCTAGGTGTATTTTGCCAGAGGAGAGAATGAGGGATTCCAGTACCATGCCAGTACTAATTCATACATTGTCTGTTTAACTTCAGAATACTACTTCAGTTAACCAGACCATATTTTTAAGTCTTGTTCTTCTTGTGATTTTTGTGGCTACTGTCAGAAGGCGGTTTATGTCTCTGATCCTGTGTGCTGAAGGGTGGAAGTGGAAACTTTTTCCTATTGAAACCGAACAGACTAAGAATAAGAGAAGGTGGGGAAAACCAAAAATTTCTCAAGAAGCAAAATCTTTAATGCAAACCAAAATAAAGAGGGAAGCTCAGTATGAGAGTGTTTACTCCCAGGCATCCTTGAATTTCACATGCAGGATTATATGCCTTTTCATCAACTTTTGAAGGTAGCGTGTGGTTTCAGCAGCTCAAGGCCAGGTTGGCTGATGAGGAGGCACAGACAAAGGTAGACAGTGGTGGGAAGAGGCCAGCCTCCAGTGTTGTGGTCTGGTGTGCTGGCAAGATAGAAGAAAATCTTGTTGGGAAGGCCTTAAGTTAGCAGTCTCACCGATCTCTTCATCAGATGGCAGCATTATATCTTCTTCTTCTAAGAGCATCCCGTAAGGTGCCTGCTCGAAAAGCCAGTATAGTGGTGGGAAGTATGATTATACACTATAGACGGATACTTATCTGAGTCTTGGATGGCAACAAGAACTGCATAATGATCTGCTTGCCAGGACAAATAGAGCTGATCTTAATGTTGGGGTTTTTTTGGAAATGCTTCCAGTACCTTGGGTAGACTAGGCAGAGAAGCATTTTCAAAGCATGGTGAGGCACTGGAGAGGGGAAAGAGGGTTTAAGCTTATTAGAAACTGGGGAACCTTTTGGAATAAATAAAGGCTAAGCAGGAAGGAATGGACTGTCTAAATCCAAATGGAATCCAATTTTTGGCTCTTAAGAAAAGGTTATGGAAGTTTCTAAACTGGAACAGGGGAGAAACTAGGTTTGGAAGGGCATGCAGCTCAGTGATGCATGCTGTGGAAATGGAATCATCAAAATTATTTATTCTTGACAGGTCAGTAGGATGGAAGTCTGTAAAGTTCAGAAGGGAAACTGCAAAGAGGAAAACTCAAGAGTAAGTCCCCATCTAAGCATAGGATGTGAAACTAAGCAACCAGATGAAGACCTGTAGCAATCAAAGAAGTGTATAAACTATTTGAACTGTAATGTCTGTTTATAATGAACTTGTTGACATACTAGGGTGTCTCGTAAACCTGCTGAGACCATGCAGTAATGAAAGTACAGGTTATAGGAAAGGGAGAGTTAGATTCTACTGGTGTAAGAGTGGACTTTAGGGGATGGAGGAGGGCTGAGTGTCAAGTGAGATAAGTTAGCTGCAGCATGGAAAACTTATGGGTTGGGGTGCCGTGCCTAAATAGAAAGGGTAAAGTATTGGATCTGACTGTGTGAAACTTGGAGACTGTAAAGGCTGCAAGATCAGAATGTGCTATAACAATGAGAGGTTTCATTTATCCGCCTGTTGACAGGATATATATCACAGGGAGGCACGGTGCATGAGTTTTTAGGAATCATGAATGCCTTTTGCATGGAGGAATGAGCCAGAAAAAGGAGAAATAAGTCTTCATATACCTTTGGGGGCTCTAAGAAATATAACTGTTGTAAAATCACTTTGTAACAGTAACCATAATGTACTCAGACTTAACATCCTCATAAGAGCAAAAAAGACATAACAGCATTATCATGGGCTTGGGGTTTGTTTTTCTAACTTTTAGGAACAGAACTACATAAATATGAGGAGGTTAGTTAGGAAGTAAATGGTACTGTGAAAGGGTAAAAAGCTCACAGCTGGCCTGGAAACATTTTAGTGCCTCATGGTAAATGCAGAGCTTGTACTACAAAGATTTAAAAAAAATCCTAATGTAGAAAACTGGCTTTGTTAAAAACAAATAATCCATTACAGGTAAAAGGACATCCTCACAAAAGGGAAGTTGTGTCCAGATATGGAAAAAGGATATAGTGGAGAGTTAATCCATGAGACTGGACAAAGGGATTTTTGAGAAGCAGTTTGCTAAAGGCAAAACCACTGTAAACCCATCAAAATAAGGAGGCCTCTCTAAGAATGTGTAGATGGGTGACCCATGTGAAAGGAAGATAGGACCGTAGCAGAAAATATAACTAAGCTGTCTGTGTTGGTACTCACTTTAGAGACTTCTTGGGAGATTCCCGAGTGGTATCTTTCTTTACAGGGAAATAGTCTGAGGAACTGTCTCAAACTGGAGCATCTATGGAACAAAATCAGTAGAATAATTGTTAGGAGTAGCTGGTATTCACCTGAGTGATTTAAAGGAATTAAAATATGAAATAGCTCACCTGGTCAGCCTTAAAACCAGTGGACTGGAAGCGGCAAATAGGACATCAGTTCTTAAGAAGGGTCTGTGAGCCAGTAAATCTGGCTTCTGCATTGTGCACATTGAAGAATTTATGGTATAGCATGATTCATAGACACCTCTCTAAATGCAGGCTCTCACAGTACTGCTTTTGCAGAGGGAAGTCAGGCTTAGTTCAGGAGCTGAGTTTGATGGAGTCAGTGAAACACATGGATAATGGTGATATGCCTCATGTGTCATACAGTCCAAAAAGATACGGTCCCTTATCGAAGACTGTTGAAAACAAGCTGTCATGGGATAACAGAGAAGGGTTCTGTCATCAATTAATAACTGTTTAAAGAAAAGACATATAGGTGAAGGAAAAATGGCCAGTTCTAGCTTTCTGGTTTTACACTACTGAGTCCTGTGCTGTTCGATATATTCGCACGTGAAATAAGAGGGGAGATTAATTATAAATGTAGAAAGTTGATAATGCAAACTTACTTAGGTTAGTTAAAAGGTAGAAAGATTTCATTATGTTATATGGCCAAGCAGTAATAAAGCACATACAGTCAGTGCTGATTGTGTAGTGACTCATGGCCCAAGTTAGATGTGCACATTGGTGGCCTTCAAGTCAGCTTTTACATCTCAGGGAGGGCTTTGGAGTCTTTGTGGGCACTATACTCAAAATACTCGATAAACAGTGAATGTGAGTGTGTGTTCATGATCGAAAGCACAAGGCTCTACACAAAGCATTGCAGTATATGTACTGGAAAAGTTATTGTTGTCTCCACCCTTTATATATTACCAGGGCAAGAAGTATTTTCCTTGTTAAGAACCAAATGGAAGTGTGATGAGTAAAGTAAGGCTTAAATTGGGAAGGTTGAGGTGTGGAATTTCTTCCAAAATAAAAATTCTATTCAATGAATGCAAGAAAACCAAACCAATAACAGTTACTAGCGTAAAGGTGGGCATAAAGTGATGCACCTGAAAGCACAGTAACTGAAAGGAAGCTCCAGCTTGAGCTGTGACCTGAAAAGAGCCAAGGGCCAGCAGAGCATCCTGCCAGTTAAGCCACATGTACAACACTGGGATGAAAGCCACACATACATAACTCCTGGGTACAGCTAAGGCAAACTGATGGGAAGAACAGGCAGGTGGACAGCTGAAGAAAGAGCTGCAGGTCTCTTCACAGAAGAGGTGCCAAGAACAGCCACGTGGGATCAAACGAAAAAAAATCTTTTCCTGGTGTCTAGTCCCTGATGATGGTCCTAGTGATGTCTTTATACGATGGCATGCTCAAACATGCTGTACTTGAGATACGAGCATGCTGTCAGTTCACACAGTGACATGATATTTTTCCTATCTGTTCCACTTGCATGATTTCCAGCAATCCATCTGTCTTGTCACTCCAAGAACTGAGCTGAAATTTCCAAAAGACCTACAATAATTCCATAATTTCTTCCCTGATGGGTGGTCACCAGCTTAGGAAGCATTGCCAGATGTGTGAAATGTGCTGTGTCTAGGAAGGTGGGAGATCAAAGCTCAGAGCAGAGGGTTCCATTTCAAGTTTGGGAGGTGCTGTTAAGATTTCTTCTTGATTTTCTGTTAATGAGGTTCAGAGCAGAAACCTAACTAATTTTGACTAAGAGAGGAAAAAAACCCAGATAAAACGCTCAACCCGGATTCTGTTACACACTCACAGATCTTACTGCAAAGGTGGTAGAGATGTGAGAGGTACCTAGTCATTTCCACAGCTCTTTTCTGCGTGGGTTTTTTCCTTTGAGATTGGGGGGGGGGGGGGGGGGTTGGTGTGTGGT